ATTTGTTGCATGTGCTTGTTGCTTGTTGGTTGTTTTGGTTGTTGCTTTTACTGTTTTTTGCCTTTTAGTGATTATCTTACTATATCATGACATGCATCGTACCTTACTCACATGTTCATGCATCATATCATCTCACATGCTCATCCATCATTGATATTATATGCTTATTCATCATGCATCATACTTACATGCCTATTTGCTTGTTTTTGGATATACTCACCTTTTTTACTTGGCTATGGAGTACTTAGTGAGTCTCTTCCCTCTTGTGCGATTATTTATATTTTTTTGCATGCTAAGTGTTGGTTGCTTTGTGTTACTAACCTTTTGCATTTGGCATGGGAGTAATAGGTGAGCCCCTTCCTGCTATGTAAGTAGGTTTGTTTGTGGGTGATATATTTGTTGAGTGTTTTATATGCTTTATTTGATCGTTGTGGGATATATGTTGCTATTTTTGTGGTTGCTACTGTGCAGGTTATTGGAGTGTCATGCCCCTTGCACACACTCACTCTCATTTTGAATTAGGTCCATGTCGGAGGTGAACCCGACCTCTAGTCTGGAATCCTTATGAATCTGGCTTGAAAGAGCAATTCTTCCCGCTTTGAGGGGTAAGATCGGTTCCTGTTAGGTTGTTTCCATTGGTTAATATGACACTTGATGATGTAATATCATTCTGTGTATTAGTTTTTGGAAATATCTCCCATTGATTTCGAAAGGATAAATGGTTGAGAAGGCCTAATGCCCTTTAGGAAAACATGTATTTGCCTTAGAGAGATACCAACCCTAAGAGATGTTTCCCCTAACATCCCACCCGTGAGGTTAGGGATCCCATGTCTAAGACACAAAGGGGCATTTTACTTCACTAACTTGGTCTCCGCATATGACAAGTTTTCATTTTTATATACATTTGAGGTATGATTAGTTATTTATCTTCTGCATTTAGATATCATTCTTGAGGTAAGGAGCATTCCATGCACTTGGTATCTTCACTTTCAACCCTATGCAAAAAAAAAAAAAAAACAATAAAAAAAAAAGTTCATGATTGTTTCACATGTCATATGTCCATCCTACTCATTTCACATTAAATTTTCCATGTCTTGAAAATTTCACATGTCATATGCATTGCAAAATATATTTTCATGTTCATCTCATGTGACATTCTCCATTTTGTTCATTTTACGTTTCATTTCTTGTCTCATATTTCACCAAAAAAAAAAAAAACTGCAAAAAGTAAAATTCCACCCATGTTTAGTACATTACATGTTCCATCTCATATAAAAATTGCACAAAAAAAAAATCTCATTCACATGCATTTCACATTGCATTTTCTATCTCAAATTTTCATTCCAAGCATTATTATCTCCATCTTATATTCTCATATTTCATAAAAGTCACATAAAAAAAATTAAAAATGGTGAAAATGAAAAAAATGAAAATTTTATCCATAGTGTAGTTTTCCTCTCATATTTCTTCATCTTTTTACATTTCGAAAAAAAAAAAGAGGGGGCATGAAAATGAAAATTTCTCCTATGTTCATTTCACATCTCACTTTTCATCACATATTTCATTCCGACCACCACTATTTCCATCTCATAGTTCAAAAACAAGTGCATAAAAATGAAAATGAAAATTCCATTCACATGCATTTTGCATTGCATTTCGCATTTCATTTCAAGTACTACTATCTCTATCTATCCTCTATCTATCCTCTATTTCTCATATGTCCCACACTTTATAAAAAAAATTACATAAAAATGAAAAAATCTTGTCCATGTCCGGTTCTCATTCAATCCCATTTTTCATGGCAACTCATATTCAACCTTACATCACATATTCATCCCATGTCAAAATTGACATTCATCTCATGCTCATTTCATGTTTAGAATAAAATCAAATTTGATCCTCATATTTTCTTGTTCTTCAATCAAATCCTTCAATTGATGATTTTCAAAAAAAAAACAAAACAAAACAAAAAAAAATTGTCCAAACTTTCACTCAAAGTTCTCACCATCTTGCATTTTCTTGAAGTAATTCAAACTTGGGGCACTTTTGGTTTGGGATACAAACCGAAGAAGGAAGATTGGCAGAGAATGCGTGTTATTAAAGCGGAGAAACGCCATGCCAGACTTCAAGGGAAAGATCCAAGGGATGAACCAATATGCAAAGGGTACTGTTTTCATTGACAGATTGCTTGAACTTGGGGAATGTTCAAAACAAGCAAGGTTTGAGGAAGTGCTGGTGGAAGAGATCACCGATGAGGTCTGTTCTGATGATGAGGAAGATAGTTTTGGCTTCAACAACCTCTTTGGGCTAGCCAACATGACAGATCCTAAGGAAAGGTGGAGAAGGATGCTCACTGAAAGGGCATTTATGGAAAAGCACCCCAACTTCCAACTCATTCATCATGCAATAGCTCCAATGGATCCACATGAGTCTATGCTCCTTGAAACAGTGAAAGAAGAATCACTATGTGACTTATGGGGAAATTTGACCATAAATGCTCTAAATGAGGAAGGACTAGAATTTGATAGGGGAATTTCTCTGGTCAATGGAAGCTCTCAAGCTAATTGGGCAGCGGAACTTCTCCCTGTAGCTTTCATCTCTAAGTAAGAAGAGTCAGCCTCTAGTAGTTCTGCTTGTGACTACATGAAGGGAGGGATTCAACAAGCACTTTTATATTTTCTGAAATTTATGTTATCATGCTTCTAGTATTCCCATGCTTTCCTTTTTAATGAAACATGTTGCAATCCTACCTATCATTGTAAAAAAATCATCATGATGCAACTTTAGTTGAACTTTCACTGTACAAGTCACTCTTTAATGATATATTTTATGAGGTTATCCAGTAACATGTTCCTATCTTTGCTTTATTATCATTTGGCCATTTATTTACTTCCATCCCAAATTTTCAGGCCTGCTAATGATGAATCTTTAAACAATGACGCCATGTCAGACTTTATATATGAGATTGATGATCAGACCTATAATGAAGAAAACAATGAAAGTCTTGATCCTTCTCATGAACTAACTCAAATGTTAAGAGAGGAAAAACCAAAGCCGCAACCAAATCAAGAGACATAAACCATTAATTAGGGCACTGAAGATGACAAAAAGGAAATAAAAATCAATACTCAAAGGAGAGAAAAAGAGTTGATAGTCTCAACTTGTTTGATGAGAAAAGATTGGCAACTCTTTGTCATGGCCCATGTTATCAGCAACAAATGGCAACAACTTACAACAAGAAGGTTAAACCTAGAGTATTTCATCAAGGAGATCCTATCTGAAGGAAGATCATGCCAAATGAAAGGGACCCAAGGGGCAAATTTGCACCAAACTATGAAGGGCCTTATGTTGTTAAAGAAGCTTTCTCCGGAGGAGCACTCTTGTTGAAATATCCAGATGGAATTGATTATCATCACCGAGTAAATGCTGATGCTGTTAAAAAGTATTATTGCTAAAAAAAAAAAGAGGTTAGGTTGAAAACCTGAAATGACAGCCTAACAAATTAAATGTTTCCTTGACTTAGAAAGTTGTAAATCTAATGATGAAAGGCCTTGTTTCTCTACCCTAAACAGTTGAACATTGCCCTTTTGCTTACCCTTTTTGAGCCAGAAAAAGGTAATCATTCAAATTTACAAAAGCCAGAATGATTTTCTTTCTATTAACCCACATTAATGACCGGGGAAGTGAAGAGAGGAATGTGAGGCGAATATATGGATTTTGAGCCTTTATCCTTTCTTTCACCGTAACCTAACCCAAGCCATGTTACAAGCCTATGAAAAGTCCTTATTTGAGGATTTGAAGCTTTCTATGTCAAGGGGCATACATTAACAAAAAAAGAGAGAGACATCAAAGCTCCAAGCATTGACAGTGGGAAACTTCCTTCTTCTGAGCACAAGAGTTAGTTCATGAAAAGGGGAAAGATTTGAAGTGTCAACATTCTAGAAAAGGAATGAAATTCTCTCTCATGGACTAAAGGACTGATGGGTAGAGTTGCAAAAGAAAAGATGATCTGAAACAATGATTTATGGTCTGAATATCTTGTAACTAATTGCATCAAAATTTTCTACTACTAGCCAGACTTATTCTAATCACTGAATGAAGTTGCCCCTTTGATCCTCTTAACCCTACTTGAATCTAGTAAAATTGATGTTTGCAATCATTCTGTTCACATTTATTCCTACTTTATCCTTTCATCAGTATTGGGAATATTAGTTGAGTATGATACATTCATTTCAGTTAATATAATTGTTTATCTAATCAAAATCTCTTGATGAATTTAAAAGGTTAAATGAGGATTACAAGGAGAAAGGAAGCCCAATTCGATAGCTAAGGAGTCATCCTTGCTAGCTGAAACTCCAATAGCAAATGAAAGTTCAACTTATTGGGGCAATATTTTCAAATATCTCCTCATGGGAAACAAATGGAATTCTACCTTTTGCATTCAATAGGGCATTCATGAATGTGAATCTTTTGAGCTGCTACATAGGGATAATCACTGATCAATGAATGTGCAACATGAAAGACACATGACTCTTGTCAAATAGGGACATCCAATATGTTCAGGGAAGTTTCTTAACCTCTCTTCATTCTACCTTATCTTATATATGAAGTTTGTCTCACTTACATATGTTTCATGACTGCAGATCTTTCAATCGTTACTTTCATCCAACCTTTTGGTTGCAATTACACTCATTAGGCCCCCATACTGATACTTTACTTCTTCCTGTCATTCGACCATACTGATACTCTACTTTTTCTGGTCATTCGACCATACTGATACTCTACTTCTTCTGGTCATTTGACCTTATTGATACTTTGCTTCTTCTGGTCATTCGACTATACTAATACTCTACTTTTTCGATCATTCAACCATACTTATACTCTACTTTTTTCGGTCACTCGACTATACTGATACTCTACTTTTTCGATCATTCGACCATACTGATACTATACCCAACTTGGTCGGTTATAAAACCGTTTCAACTCAAACTTGCTCGATCGTTTGACCGTAGCTACTCAACTTGCTCAGTCGTTTAACCGTGGCTACTCAACCTGCTCGATCATTTGATCGTTGCAACTCAGCTTACTCGGTTATAAAACCGTTTCTACTCATACTCTACTTTCTCAGCCATTCGACCATACTCATACTCTACTTTTTTGGGTCACTCGACCATACTAATACTCTACTTTCTCGGTCATTCGACCATACTCATACTCTACTTTTTCAGTCATTCGACCATACTGATACTCTACTCCTTGCGGTCATTCGACCATACTCATACTCTATTGGCTCGGTCGTTTGACCGTAGCTACCTAACTTGCTTGGTCGTTTGATCGTTGCAAGTCATCTAAAATCAACTCATTGAAAATCAAATCATTTAAGATCAACTTACTTAAGATCAACTTCTTCAGTCATTCAACCGTTGCGGTTTCATAGCCGTTTTTACTTTACTTGTTCGGTCATTCGATCGTTGCGATTTCATAACCGTTTTTACTTTACTTGTTCGGTCATTCTACCGTTGCGGTTTCTTAACCGTTTTTACTTTACTTGTTTGGTCATTCAACTGTTGCGGTTTCTTAACCGTTTTTACTTTACTTGTTCGGTCAAACGACCGTTACGGTTTCTTAATCGTTTTATTTTACCTGTTCAGTCATTCGATGCGTTTTACTTTAACTATTTAATTTATTTTTAAAAAAAAGGGAGAAAAGGAAAAAGAAAGAGAGTGGCAAATTTGAGTTATTCTTGTCTTTTCTTTTCATTCTTAATAGAAAGAAAAGAAAAGAGGGGCAACTGTCATAACTCAAATTTTTATCAAAAAAAAAATCAAAAAAATAAAAATATGAAAATTTCCCTTTTCTTTGGCTAATATATCTTTATTTTGTTTCAGGTACTATATGCAAAAAGAAATTGGAAAATTCAAGAAGAAGAAAGAAAGGACTCAATTGAAGAAATTACAAGTTGGGGGGGTGAAGTTCATCAAAATGAATTTTACAAACCCAAACCCAAAACCCATTTAACCCTAACCCAAAAAAAAAAAAGGGAAAAAAAGAAGGTGTCTGGAACCTTTTCTTTCCCCATTAATTTGTTTTTCTTTTTTTCCCCAACCAGCCCATGTCCTGCACCTCACGCCTTGCGCCCCTGCACCTGCCCTGCACCAGATCCTGGCCTTGCTTTGCACCGAGCCATGCGTCTTTTCCCTTGATCCCTTGCTTGCTGCGCCTGCACGTTTCTGCTCTTGCACTCCGCGCCCAATGCCTGCACTTTCCCCTTTGCGCCTCTGCGCCCCTGCTACACCGAGCCTGCGCCCTGATCACGCCTAGATTTCCTTGCTCTGTGCCCCTGCTGCGTTGACCCTGCTGCTGCGCCTTTGTCCCTGCAGCCAACCGAGCATGAGACAAACCTGCACCATGTCCTTGCCTTGCCTGCAAGATGACATCACGCTCCAGCTTTCTTGGCTGTTCCGCAGGGCCAGTTTTGGCCTCACCCGATCAACGGTGGAAGGAAAAAGAAGAAAAATTGAAGGGTTTGGATGAGGAGAGAAGAAGGGAGTTAGGGTTTTGTTTGATTGTGTATAAATAGGAAGAATTGGTGAATTGGAAGGGGGGTTCTCTTTTGGTTGAAGGGTTCTCTTTTGGAGGGTTTTTCTTTTCGAAAGAGTTCTCTTGGTTGTTCTTTTCAGTCTGACTTTGGGATCGCCGGAGGTGATAGCAAGAGAAAGGAGATCGTTAAGCTCTTAAAGGAGTGACTGTTTTTGGAAGTTGCGTTTCTGGATTTATCTTTGCTTTAGGTATTTTTCTTCAACAGAGGAGTTCTTCCGGGGAGGCAGTGAAGGGAATGATCTGGGCTTGATCCCGTGGGTGGGATCCCCCAGATCGGATTCTGATCTGTTACCCAGGAAAGCTTCGCCGTGTTTGTTGCACTCTTATGATCTAAATCTATAATACCAATAAAATATTTTCTCTTATACCCAAATCTATTGGCCATGTTTTTATATTAGAGATGAGATTATCATTTTGTTCTTGATAGCTATAAAATTAGAAGAAATTATTAAGGTAATAATACAATTACATTGTTAATTCTTTTTATTTAATTTTACATGAAATTTGATTTTCACAAATAAAAGTTTTTGAATAAAAAATTGCTATTTATTCATTAAAGTACAAATAATAAGTTTAAAAAAGATATTAATAGTTGATTAAGCTAAATTTGTCAATTAATAAATTATTTACTAAATAATTACTTCTATTTAACTAGTAACATACTTTAATATAAAAAAAAGTAATATTTAATAATGTAATTTTTCCTTTATGGTAAATGTTGCCCTTCCCTCTAGGAACTTATTTTTTGCCATTTCCCAAAAAATAAAGGTGCTAAGTTTTCTCTTTAAATTTCTAGAATTCGAAGTATTTTCCAGTGCAATGCATTGGAAAATAAGCATTATTGCCATCCCCCACTTATGAAATGTTGTTTATGCAAACTTCAAATTATTTTTCAGTGCAATGCACTGGAAAATAAGCATTTTGTGCCATTTAGATAATTTTCTAGCGCATTGCACTTGAAAATAAATATTGCACCATTTCACACCAAAAAATTTTGAAATGCTACCTTTTCCTCTGTCATTTTCAAAATTCAACTCATTTTCCAACACATTGCACTGGAAAATAAGTACACTCAGCCATCCAACCGCTGAAAAATTCAGAAATGCCATCTTTTCACTTTTAATTTTGAAAACTTAGATTATTTTCAAGTGCAATGGGCTGGAAAATAATTCAATGTCTATATAAATATACTTCCTCTCTATTTGCACCTTTATTTTCTCTTTTACCACTTTTTCTACTTCCTATGAATATATACGTTCTTATTTGCAAGGATTAAAAAATTGGGGGCCTATATGGTTGCCCCCACTAAAATATATTTAGTTTGTAAATTGGGGGCCTATATGGCTGCCCCCACTAAAATATATGTCATGCCCCAAAATCAGAAGTGGAATAGATGCTGTACACTTGCAAGAGGATCCCACAAATGCACAAGGCTCGGAACTTATTTATAGCATAAAATCAACTCTAATACCATAAAATCTCAAAGCAAAATCTATCTTACAAAGGAATGATCTATATTTCAAAAAAATCTATGCCCAAAATACAAGTAACTAGCCCTCTGGCTCGTCACTCCCCTTGGTTTCCCACATCTCGGTCCTCACTACCTAAAATGGTGGACAAGAAAAAATTAGTGAGAAAACTCAGTAATTAAAAATATGGATAACCCTTAATTAAAGTTATAGCATGCCAACAAGTGTAATCAAGTATCAAGAAAAAGAATGGTACAAGTACGAGAATGAAATAGATGTCTCCTCTATAGGTCATGACCAGCGTTTATAAACCTCCCACTGGCGGGCACAAGAATGTAGAATGGATCGGTCCTACAAATATACATGTCAAGATGTGCTAGCGTTTATAAACCTCCCACTAGTAGGCACAAGAAAACATGACCATATTGGAGACTAAAACATGGAGGAGTTACAAGAAAATCCATAACTTACATATCAACTTTCAAGTTATCAGAATAGTTCAATAAACTCCAAGCAAGCATGCTCAAATCAATAAATGATAACAACTTCATTTAGCCAATCATGCTTGTGTTTGAGTAAAACGGGTTTAATCTTGCCACCACTTCAAAAGAGTTTAAAATATGCTTTTAAAAAAAAACCTTTACCTTAAAATCCAAGGGTATTAGCATAATTTTACTTATCTCGCCTTGTAGGTATACAACAAGCAAGGAATTCAAGAGGTCAAGGTGCTTAAGGTGATTTAGAACCTATACCACATTAATAAATAGACAAAATCACAATATACTCCATGTAACTAATTTGATTTTCTAATTACAAAATCAAATTTCTAACCCGAGGAACAATTTCCTCCTACACCTCTTAACTCTACCCTTTGAAACCTTACTAACATATATTTATTCATATGCATAATCATACGTAAATATGCTTAAAATAGCTCCAAGAGACCCAACATATTGTGGGTTTACCAAGTAGATTTTGCTGGGCAAAACACAGTGGAAAATATGAGAAACCAAGCTCAAATCTACCCCAAAACAACAACACAAAAGTTGGGCAGTAAGGTGGGGATTTTTTTGCTATTTAAAACAATCCGAAAATTCTTAGAAAAAGGCTTGAACAATAGGAATTTCTGGGCAAAAAGACAGCAACAAAATAGGGTAGAACACAAGCTAGAACTAGGCACAAATGGACAGCATTTAAGCAGTAAAAAAGGCAGCCAAGGCAAAGTAATAACAAAGGGTTTTAGAGGATGAAAACAGTAGCTAAAAATCTAATAAAATCATGATGCAATATGGCAGTACATATTGTAGAAATAAAGTAGAAAACAGATCAATTTCTTGGTATTTTTGAAAGCAATTTTGTCAAATTCCGAACTAGAAGTTCCAACAGAATTTTTACACTGAAATTGACCAATCTGGGTTGAATGGTTAAAAGATAAATTGTAGCCCTATGTCTTAGCATTCTATATGATTAAGAATTACCTTAATACGACATCTATAGAAAGAGTTATGGTCAAAATAGTGACAATAGGTCAGACTGTCAATTCAGTCCACCTGCAGGAACCGAATTTACAACAGAATTTTCACCATGATAACAACTAAACTTGGTTAAACATTCAACAGATAAATTGTAGAGCTATCTCTTAACTTTCCACAGAATCAAGAATGGACTTAATATGATATCTACAGAAAGAGTTATATGAAAAATACTATAGAAAGGTCATGCAGTCCGAATTTCCAACAAGAAAAAGAAATCAGTTCTCTTTTTTTCTTTCTTTCTTTTTTTCTTGGTTGTGCTAAATCATGAACAAAATCAAGGAGAACCACAGAAACACTCCTAAAATTGAAAACCCTAAATGCTTAAAGATAACCCACTTCAAATAAAGATAAAAATGTGAGCAATATGTCAAATTTCTTATCGAAAGTGTTGGAAAAATGGTAGCCTCTCCTCATACCTAACATGGACCAGAAAATGGAAGGATACCAACATCAAGATCTGAGTTTTTATCATGATTTTAAGAATCATAAGCTCATAAATCTCTAACCCTTGTTAGAAGAAGGAAGAAAAATGCTAAATCTCACCTTATTCTAGTGGATGAAGATGGCATGGGCTAAGGCTTGTTGAGCAAAATTTTTGTTGAAGGCTAAGGGGAAACCACGATAAAAAAGGCAAGGAGAGAGAAGAAATCAGCTTAGCCCTTTTTATCCTCAAATTTTTACTTTTAACCCCCTTAGCTTTGTGAATTTTAGCTATTAAATCCAACAAAAATAATTTCTACCACATAAGCCCCTAACTTAAATTTTAAGGTCTTAGAAAATTTTGGGATATTACAATATATTCAATCTGTTAATGGTCTGAATACTTTGGACTTAGTAGCAACTTTTAAAATTTCTAGTGCTAATGTGTCTGTTGCTTTGAAAGTTACTCAAACCATTTACGGTCTAAATATATTGGACTCAGATGCAAAATTTGAAAAGTCTAGTGCCTATGTTTTGGTTACATTAAAATATATATAGACCGTTTTTGGTTTATATATATAGCCTCAATTGCAAAGGAAAAGGAATCCTTGCCGATCGGTGGTGGCTTTGCCTAAATTATTCAGACCAGTTATGGTCCGAAATAAGCGCTTTTAACAAAAAAAAAAGAAAAAAAAGAAATTAGAAATGAACTAGAATATATTTATTTTACTCACTAATTATATAATGTTACCAAATGCAAAAATATATTTTCTAAATTAGAATATATACATGTTATAAAGGAATAAAGTAGTTTTGTACTAATTACTTAATATAATAACTAAAGACATGTAAAATATTAATCACATTAAATTTAAACAATGCAACATATAAAAATAAATTTCAATCTTATATAATGTGCTAAATTATAATAATTACATAAAAAGAAATAAATACCTAATATTTTGATTTTTGTTAAATTAAAATTCAAATATACAACATATAAAAATAAATGAGAATATAATATAATATTGCTAATTAAAAAAAAAAAGTCAACAACAATAATTATAATTGTAAATAAATAATAAAATAGAAATATTTATTAACTACAACAAAATATAAGTAAAAAATATATAATATATAGCACAAATGTCACGCCCCATAACCCAAATCCAGGGACATGGCAGATGCCGTGCACTCGTGAAAGGGTCCCACAAATGCACAAGGTTCGGAACTTATCCAATTCACATCTGACAATCTAATAACTTAAATCAAATATATTTCAAATTAATTCTATGTCCAACACTTAAGCTCAAAATCTCAAAGTAAAATCTATCTTACAAAAACATGATTTATTTCTAAAATCTATATCAATCTCGAAATGGCTAACCTTCTAACTCGTCACTTCCCGTGGTTTCCCCGTCCTTGACTTCGCTTTCTGAAATGGTGGACAAGGAAAACTAGGTGAGATAACTCAGTAAGTAAATATGGAGTGCCCCTTATTAAACTTATAGCCTGCCAACCAGTGTAATCACGAAAACAGTTACATTGCGAGAACGAAATAGACATCTCCTCTATAGGTCACGGCCAATGTTATAAACCTCCCACTGGCAGGCACACTATTTGCTGGTGTATAACCCCCACTAGCAGGGTCACTCGAACGAACCGGTTCTATCAATAACATGTCGACATGTGCTAGCATTTAACCCTCACTAACAAGGTCACTAATAACATGACCACATCGGAGACAAAA